GGGTCTGCCAGGACAAAGAAGCAAGCGCCTCACAGGCTGTGCCCTCACCTCTCCCAGGAGCCACCGCAGGGGCCTGGCCTGGGGCTTTTCCTTCCACAAGAGCAGATCCCCCCGCATCCCACGACTTCACCAGCCAGTGCTTCTAATCAGACTTGCTTAACCTGCCCTCACGTGCACAGTTATCATAATAAACACTCAGGTGTCACCTGTGGCCCAGTGTAAAAAAAAAAAAGAGGAAAACGGAAGGAGAACCGGTTCCCATGAGGTCAGGCATGAGTAATATGGGCATTAAACCAATCCAGGCTAGCTCGTGCTCCCACCAAGGAGCACCACACTCGCCGTGCAGTGAGGGACAGTTCTACCCTGACAGGAGGCCACGAGATGGGCACAATGGTGGCTTCCTTCCAGGTCATTAGACCATTGTATTCAGACAGCAAGTCAGCCCAGCTGAGACAGGCGGCTCCACGAATACAGGAGTACAGTGTGTGCTGAGGTAAATGCGGGCTTTCTTCCTTCCGTCCCTGGCTTAAGAGGGGGCCCTCTGGAGCCCTCAGCCTCCCTCAGCCCCTCAGCCTCCCTCAGCCCCTCAGCCTCCCTCAGCCCTCTGGAGCCCTCGCCCGTCCACAAGGCCAACAGTGTGAAGTTGCTGTCACCTACCCCAATTTTGCTCCAAGCCTCTGCATGCAGCTGTAGTCCAGCAAAGACTCGCTCTCTACGGGAGGGAACTCTTCGTACGTGGGTTCAAACTACAGAGACACAAAGAAAGCCAAGTGGGTTTCCTTACAGGGACGCAGTTTCCTCAGGTCTGCCAACAAGCTCTCCAGGAGGGCACGGTCACCGAGGTCAGCTCTGCTAACTGGACACCAAGCCCCTGGAACACAGCCCAGGGCAGAGTTTTCTTTGTCAAGGTCACCACAGGGCCCAGGGAGTCTGAGTTAAGAAGGGAGAGACCCGCCTTTCCCTCCCTTCTGGGCTCCGCTTGACACAGTCATTGCTGCGGGGACTCGTCGGCACCCGGCTACTGGATGGCTTTCACCGAGGTAGCAATTCAGAAACGCTGACTTTAAGAGTTCAGCTTCTACTCTTTGATGTTATTCTGATGATCAAAGGTTTTCTCGATTGCAAACCAAAGAAGCTAAGAAATAGAAAGTACTGTTATGACTAAAGTCAACTCAGAGAAGAAATGGTGGTGGTGGTGGTGGTGGTGGTGGTGGTGGTGGTGGTGGTGTGTGTGTGTGTGTTTTACGAGTATTCCACTGGGAAACAATGAAGGGAAGACCTACAGACATCTCTTTTTATGAGTTAGTTGTCCAGCTCCTCCAGGTTGCTGAACCCCTGCAGCTACCTGAGACAGAGGCTGCTGTCAGCAGGCGGGGCGAGCGGGTTTCCGGACGGCAGGGCTTCCCTACCTCCACGTTGCGCTTCACGAACGTCTTGGTCACCCTCAGCATGTGAGTGTACTCGATCAGCTCCAGCAAGTTTTTCCTGAGTTTCTCCTTGTTCATCGTTACCTCTCGCAGTTCAACCTCCAGTTTCTGCAGCTGCTCCTGAAACAACACAGGGTACTGGGTCACTGGGTTCTGTGCTCCTTGGAGTGGGATTTTAGGAACCTTCTCAAGCATCGGCTAAGGAGAGGTGTCAGGGTTTTAAAGGCCCATCCTTTGTTTCCCCCAAAATAAATGATGCTGACAACTCACAGTGACCCTACGGGACAGAAAAGTGCCCCCAGGCTGCACTTTTCCCCCCCAATCCTATTTTGTTCTTGTTGATGAGAATACACACAGCAAACACGCCAAACCGCTACCTCTGAGCTGACTCTGGCCCACAGTGGCCCTGTAGGACAGAGCAGAACTGCCCCTGTGGGTGTCTGGGCTGTCGCTCTTATTGTGGAAGAGCGCGGAAGCCTCGTCTTTCTCCGGAGGAGCGGCTGACAGTTTAACACTGCTGACCTCACTGTTGGCAGACTCGTGCAGCCTCCACTCCGTCACCAGGGCTGCGCACAGCAGAAAGTACACTGGCTCACCAGTCTCTACAGGGACAATTCAGCGACAGCCGTGCCGACTTCCTTCACGTTGTGCAACCCTTCGCTTGAGTTGTTCCTTCTCAGTAATACGAACTCACGCCCCCGGCCCCCGACTGGCTGCTAGCTCGTCAATTTGATGCCATGTCGGCAGACCCCGAGGGAGCTCGGTGCAGGCAGGCCGTCTCTTCTGAGCATGCCAGGAGGCTGTCATCTTTAAGGACGCAGAGCGCCTGTTTTTCTTCCTTGGCGCAACTGGTGGGTTCAGAAGCCCACTCCTCGGCCCCTTTGTTAGCAATCCAGTGCTGTGTCATCACGGGGCCACCAGGGCTCCTTCCAACAGGGCCTTCTGCTATCAGTCATTGAACGACACAAAGGGAAGCTGTTGCGTGGGGAATGCCTTGATGTATGCATTCTCACCACAACAAAGTCATACATTACAATAAAAGGAGCTGGGGTTGTGGGGGTTTTTTAAGGGGTAGATCTGCTACCAAAAAACCCCCACAGTCATTTAAATGATTCATGAAAAACATGATACTGCACACTTTTCCTTAAGCCAAAATTCTCCTTTAAAAAGACAGGTTTCACCTTCATGCGTCGAGTGAATGATCAATTGGAGGGAAAAAAGGAAGAGGAGGAGAAGGAATCTTCAATCTCTGAGGCTAAATGGTATTTAAGTCGTAAAGCACCAGAAATAGGAATCTGCCAAGCCAATCATTTAGTCCATGATGACTCATCAAGCCAGCACTTAACACACAGCATCTATCAGCGGCATAACCAGCCCATCAGACAGGCCAAACCAGATGCCTGCTTACTGAGCATCTGACTGTATAACTAATTGAGTCTGGAGTCCACTTCCTACCACACACACTCAGAGCCGCCTGCCCACCCGGCCCGCCTTCCACAACAAGAATGGTTGCAAAGAGCAGGAGCACCATGTCTGTGACCCGAAGTGACAGGTTATGAAACTATTATACTGGGGCATCAATGGGCCATTCAAGGGAGGCCACAATAAGCAGGCAGGGAGGGGCCTTTGTTCCCAGAGGTCAGGGTGAAGGAGTTTTGTTGGAGCCATATATCCTCATCTTCACCCTCACTCCTAGGAATTCAAGGCGAGCTGGGAGGACGGTGTGACTGGGCCAGGAACACAGAGGCACGCACCTTATTATGTGACTATAAGCCAGGGTGAACGGCCTAATTCTCGCTCAAAATCCCAAACTCACTGCCATCAAGTCAGTTTAGACTCACAGTGACCCTACAGGGCAGGGCAGAACTGCCCTGGGGGTTCCAAGAGTGTGACTGGCTTTACTCCTGGGCTGTTCCCAGCACGGAGTCATCCACATGAACCACCACCCCCACCCACCCACCCCTGTTCCCTAAGCTGGGGTTTACTATCAGCTCATCACTGGACTGGCACCAGCCAACAGAGAACTGGTCAGGGCAGTGGCGGGTGACTGGCTGAGTGTGAGACTCTTCACAGAAGTAGAGAGCCTCATGTTCCCCCAAGGAGTAGCCGGTGGTTTCAAACTGCTACGCGTGAGGTTTGTAGCCCATCTTGCCACCAGGGCTCTCGCTAGCCTCTGCTGACCACCACCTGGAAAGGACACCCACGTGGTCCACTGGGAAAGACAAGTGAAATGCGGTTCACACCGGCTGGAGACTTCCTGTTACTGAGGGCTAAGTGCTCTTTGGTTTCCACTCCACGTTGTTGAGAAAGCAGAATAGTCCTGATCACTGCACCACCTTGGCAGGCCCTGCCGATCAGGGTCCTGATGTCCCTTGGGAGTTACCTGCATCTCTAACACCTGCTTCAGTGGTGGCGCAGGAGGGCTGGTCTCTCCTTCAGGAAGGGGGATGCCTGCTCTGTTGATCTCCTGCACCAAGTACGCTGTAGAGGCAGGAAATGCAACAAGTTAGACATAAAGTCCATTGCGGGCAGAACATCTTAAATCCCACCCTTCCCTGGGCCCTCAAAACCACAAACACCCCATCATCCTCCTTGTTCCCACAGATTCACGGGTCTACTTTTATCTTCCACCGCCTACCCCCCCTTCCCGGCTTTTTTCCCCGGGTTTTGAAATTATTGTTCCTTCCGGGGTTCCCGTTTTGGGGGAAAATTATTTTGGTTAACCTTTTTTTGGATTTCCCCAATTTTTTTTCTTGCTTGAAGTTCCGTTTATTCTTTGGGCTTGGCACCCGGGGGGGTTGGAAGGGGGGCCTTTTGCGGGGAGGCAGGTCAGCCGGCAGGAAGGACAGGGGGTGGGAAATGGGAAGCACCGGAGGGCATGGGGAGAGCGTGATCGCGTCTCGAATCACCATGGGCAAGTCCAGGGGAGTGGGAAACCAACCTGCTCTGTAAACTCCCACCCGAATCACAATAAAAGGTTATTTTTAAAAAGAGAGAGACCACAAATTCAACGTGACAAGTGCAGTTTACAGAAGTTGAAGCCATGCTGTCTTTGACACACCAGACTGCAGCACGACCTGGTGGAAACCAAGCCGAGCAGCGAGGGGGCACAGGATGTCCTCCCAAACCAGCCTGGGCCTTCTTGCTGATGTTTGCGAGGGCAATGCACGAGGGGGCCAATCTCTAAGGCCGCGCAGCACAAACGCTGTGTGAGGACCAGGACCCCCGGGGCTGCTGGGAAGCCAGGCTCTGACCCCGGGCTGGGAAAGGAAAGCAGCTTGGTTCACTAGGCTTTTGCATAAACGGGTTGAGCATCTGATACTTCAGAGACACTGGGCTTCTCGGAACCGGCTGCATGCCCGCCGAGCTGCGTCTGCCCTGCGCAGTCTCCCATCTCCTTCTCCTGAGCGCTGCATCCTGGGCACATGCCGCCCTTCTGATCTTGTACAGAATTTCTGTTCTGCACAGTCACCCACTGGTGGTGTTTGCATCAGAGGAGAACAAACAAACAAACAAACAACCCCAAACTCACTGCCATCCAATGAATTCTGACTCAGGGAGACCCTCGAGGGTGAACGACTGCCCCTTTGGGTTTTGAAACTTTAAATATCGGGGAGACAGAAAGTCTCCTCTTCCTTCTAAGGAGCAACTGGTGAGGTCAAAGCGCTGACCTTGCCGTTAAAACACCGCTTGGCTGCCTAAGTTGAAACGTAGATTCGATGATAAGGGCACAGGGTCTCTAAGCATCCACGAGTCATCAATACACTTCAGTTAAAACTCTGTGACGCTCTACAATTCCTCATTTTTAAATTTATAGTTAACGCTGAAGAAGCAGCATTTGTTTTCTTTCTCTTTTCTGAAACACATTGCCATCGTTTTTTGTGATTTAGTTATTTGGTTAAAAAATTAAAGTGTGAAGGGAAAAAAAAAAGAACAGATACTTTCTCATATAAATCTGATTTACAAAATATATTATAAACCGCTACAAATTAAACAAATTGTATAGAAAGTACTGTGAGGATGTTGAATGTACATTACATATCAATGAAGTTTAAAAAAACAGATTCATATGACTCATGGTAAAATAGCCCAATTCACAGTTATTTACCGTTTATATTTTTAACTTATACTATTCTTTTCCTTAAGACAAAGGTCACACCTGATAAAGCCATGATCAGACATCCCACTTCTGAAGCGTGACTAGTTACCTTATTCTTTTTTAAATAAAACTATGACAATGTCTTACCAAGATTATTTTAACCTATTTACAACACACCTAAAAGTCTTGAGTTTTTTTAAGAAGTTCATATTCTTTTTTTTTAAGTTTGATTGGCACATAAACCACATATTGTACAATTCAATCATATCAAGAAGAGCTGTACAATAATTACCACAATCAATTTTAGAACATTTGCTGCTTTCTCATTGTGATTAGCACCCCATTTCCTTCCAATCTCTCTCTTTTTGATACTGTTCAAGCTACAGGAGAAAGACTGTACAATGAGGTGGGGCCAGGGAATCGGCACAAAATCCTCAAGGGAAAGGAAGACACTGTGAGTGACACAGGAGTTCAGGTCAACAGAGGTAATTGCTGTCACACAAGCTGAACAGGTGTGGAGTAGGCGAATGGGACTAAACCTGTCAGTACATACAGGTGTGACAGAGGATATGGGCGGAAGTATATCCAACTATATAGTAAAACATTATTGAGCAAAGTTATAAAAATCTCTTAGTCATAATCAAACATCTTGATGGAGTGAATGGCTGGGCCTAGGGGCTCAGGACCACTGTCTTGGGAAACAAAAAAGATTAATTGCTATAACATAGTCTACAAAAACAATGTTCTACATCCTACTCTGATGAGTAGCAACTGGGATCTTAAAACCTCATGAGCGGCCTTGTATGGAGCAACTATTGATCATTCCCCATTCAGAGGAGAGGAGAGTGGGAAGAAATGGAAACAATTAATCCAATGGACTAATGAGACCTTCAAATATCAGCCTCTGTGACTCTGAGGCCAGAACTACCCAACTACCACTACTGATCCCTCTGAGAGCAATCACACTGCGTCCTGGATAGAAGGGGAGGAAAAGGTGGAAGAAAACACACATGGGAAACAAAATTTAAAATCAGGCTTTCTGGTTAGATAGCGACTGGTGGAACTCCGAGACGACCCTGGAAATGAACTCACCCCATGGCTCAACTTTCAGCCAAACAACAGACAGGTTAGGGGGTGACTGGTAACACCAGGAACGCATGAATTAGAACCATCAATCACGTGGGATAAAAACAGCAGCCTCTGCCCAGGGAGAAAGCTCGCAATGCAGGGTGGGTTGGGAAGAAGGGTGAATGGAGACACAGGAAGGAAGTGGGCTTCCTTCCACTATGACATCGTGGGGCTTGCAATCCATGTCAAGGAGCAAGATGTCTATGAATTGTTGAACAAAAAACCAATTGGCAGGGTAAACTTGCATCCAAATCACAATAAAAACTTTGAGGAAATCCTATAATGTCTAATGTGTTTCTACTTTTACCCTCCTTTAAAAGTGTCATTCCAATACAGGCATGTTCAGTGAGATGGGAGTGCACCATCATCTAACACACACTCAGCGACTGTCCTCACGAGCCGATTCCGATGCATGAAGAACCTTATAGGGCAGAGCAGAACTACTAAATAGCTGTAAATACTTCCAGAAGCACACGGCCTCACCTTTCTCTTGTAGAGTGGCCAGTGAGCTCACATCACTGACCTTCCTTCCGGTTAGCAGACCAACAACATTTAACCTACTAACCAGGGCACCTTCCAACGTCCTCTAACTACACTAATAACGAAGAGCTCTGGCAATAGAGGAATCAACTCCTGCTGAGGGAAAGCTTTCTTCCTCCCAATATTAAAAAATCTCCAATGAAAGAATGTCAAATGCACAGTAACTATGTGCAAGCATCCTTGGCACTAGAGATTCTCCCAGGTCACTCCTCCCCTCAGTGCCCCCTCCCTTCACCCCTATTGTTCTGGTCATCCTTCTAAAAACAATGTCACACTTCCAGTCCACTGTTGGAGATTATCTGTATTTTATTTCAGTCAGAAGCCCAAGGCTTGACTTGATAATGGCAGTTTCTGGCAAAGTGCTTGAAGACTATAGAGAGAGAGAAAGGAAGCCAGGAGGCTGTGCTGCCACATTAATAAAGGAGACACTTAGGCCCAAAGCACCTGCCACTTCCCCTCGCTGGGTCCTCTGCCGTAAGTACTGCCTTCCCAGGTAGCCTAAGAGACAGCAGCCTACAAGAAAGCGGTTAAGGAAACTTGGTACCCACACAACTGAGTGCTCTGTAGTCATCAGAGAGGGGGGCAGACAGAGGGAGAGTCGTGGTTCTTATTGGGAAGTGAAAAGCAACACTAGTGAGAAGGTAACCTGACTTTAACAGATTAAAAAACAAAAGATAAAACACACTGACGTGAACATAACCGCAAAAACCTCAGAGACTGGATACAAGGCAAGTTTCTCGTTTCTGCTTATCTGTATTTTCCTCTCCCCTCCCTCACTGGAATAAATGTGGTTTGCTTATTCTACAGTGACGACTTTAAAATAGAAAGGCTGTTCTGGAGGGGCTGGGGATCAGACGCCAGTCTTTGAAAAGATCTAGACCAGTGGTTCTCAACCTTCCTAAAGCCGCGACCCTTTCATACAGTTCCTGGTGTTGTGGTGACCCACCCCCCCCAACCATAAAATTATTTTCGTTGCTACTTCATCACTGTCATTTTGCTGTTGTGATGAATCAGGCGAGACGCCTGTGAAAGGGTCGTTCGACCCCCAAAGGGGTCACGACCCACAGTTTGAGAACCGCAGATTTAGAAGCTAACAACAACAGGTCACGAGAGGATGTCTAGCAAGATGGTGATTAGTCAGGCTACAAAGACTCTATGGCAGAACTATGGTAGACCACATGCACTGGGATGCATGACAATTCTGAAACCTTGAGCTTGAAAGTTAAGAGGGAGAAGTAGATTGAACCCTGAGTAGGAGAGGAGTTGAATAAAAACAGGGATAGAGGGAGACAGACGGGGGAGCTGTGGGCTAGCCTGACGTGGAGCTGCTCCCCTTGGACTTCTGACAGCATCTGGGAGAGACAGCAGCCTGGCAGCACAGGCACACACTGGTAACTGCACCCTAGAAAGCCAAAGGGCAGCAACAAACAGCCCGCCCACACCCATCCCTCCAGCAGTGTAAGCATTACCTATCCCTGAACCACCTGGTCATTAAGAGAGCAGCTACCACCAGCCAAACCCGCCCTCAGCCTTGCCGCGTGCTGCACACACAATCACATTCTCCATCACACCCACCTATGACAGTTACACACCAAGGCTCATCATCAACTACACACAAACACAACCATCACAATACCACAAAGACAGCACACAATGTCAGTTTCCACGAAACAAATCAGAGGGGCTCAAACATGGGATCAAAATCCCAGCAGAAACCCTTTCTGAGGGGGAAAAAAAAAAAGGCATTTGAACTACTTGGTAAGAAATACAACAGAATGATACTTGGATTCTTTCAATGGGTTGAGAGCAAGATCGATGAAAGCAACAACAACAAAAAATGCTGGGTTTCCTTAAGAATTCAGACAACACTACAAGAACTAACAAAATAAACGAAGAATTAGAAACAAAGCCATACAAAAATAATAGTATAGATAGAAATCCACAAGATTAATACTATGTCAGGATTAGTTAATCCACAGAAAGGGCAACCTGAATCAGTGAGCCTGAAGACAAGTCGTTCATTACTAATCTGTTAGGAAATGATAAGAAGAAACAACTAGACATGTAAAGAAAAGTTATGCATGCACACATTAACATTTCTTATTTTATGAAGAAAGCCTAAGACGTCTGTGAGACACCACCCAGAGGAATAACTATTTGTGACTGGAATTCCACAACAGAAAGACACACACACACACACACACACAAAACAGAAAATGATTGAAGAATTGTTGGAAGAGAATTTCCCTAATATCATAAAAACAGGAAGATACGTATTCAAGAAGCAAATGAACCTCAAACACGATGAACACAAAGGAAAGTCACCAAGACATGTCGTAATCAAGCCTTTCCAAAACTAAAGGGAATGAAAGCCTCCTGAGAGCCATGTGAGAAAAACAAGTTATCCTGCAAAAGAAACTGAGCTCTGATTTCTCAGTAGAATTGGCCCTGTCGTCAAAAAGGCAGTGTGTTGCTATAAACTCGGGGGGTAGACAGGAGGAGAATCAATCAAACCAAGAATTATATACCAAGCAAAACAGTCACGTACCAAGGCAGAACGATGACTATTTCCACACAAACAAAAACGGAAGAAATTCATAAAAGGTAGGCCAAGCTTGCAGAAACAGGGAGTTCTTTCTCTGGACAGAGAGCCAGCAGAAGACAACAATCTGCGATTAACAGGCACGGAAACGCCACCCAGAAGTCAACCAGGACCGAAAAGCAGCCGCGGGCAAACACACCGAGAAGGCTGAGCACAGGGGAGCGGAGGTTCAGCCATCTGTAATGAAGACAGGACAAGTAAGAAAGGGAATCAAGGAAAGAATTTCCACAACGACAGCAGTTTAAGTAAACATCCAAACTCACTGCCACTAAGTCAATTCTAATTCACAGTGACCCTGTAGGACAAAGTAGACTTGCCCATGGTTGTGAGCTGCCCGTCTTTACAAGAGCAGGAAGCCTCAGCATTCTCGTAGCTGGTGATTGCAAACTTCACTTCCGCTGGTGAGCAGCCCACAGCAGAACCCACCACCCCGCCAGGGCTCCTTATTTGGGTAAAGGGAAAGGTAATATGCAATGACAGGGAGGTTGGCAAAAACATTACGGAGGCAGACTGCACCCTGGATTGGTGTAGCCATGGAGGCCGGTGTCCTGTCCACCTGTGTACCCTGCCTGCCCGAGGCCTTCGCACCACTGCTTCGGGCCACCACTCAGGCCATGGTCCAGCCACTCGGCACCATTCTGTCCCCTCCCCTTGGGGAGCTGACGAGACCCAGGGCTTCAGTCAGCCTTGACGCTGGAGCGGCTCCTGGTAGAGTTATATAGCTGTGCCGCCAATAGCGAATGCACCACCACTGACGTTAGGAGGAATCAAGGGCCGTGTTCTTCACGTCTTGAAACTCAGGGATAAAACTGACCCTGGAAAGCTTTCAGTGAATTCCCGTTGTACGAAAGACCTGGGCTTAGGCAGCTTGGACCAAGTGGAGATCACCATGGCCATGGAGGACAAATTGGGATTCGAATTCCGGATATGGATGCGGAAATGTTATGTGTCCACAAGAAAGTGGAGACTGCATTGCAAATAAGAAGGATGCATCCCAGTAGTGTATCAGACTCCCTTTCTTCCCTGAGAGAAGACTCGGGTGACTGGCGAGTGTCTACAGATCAGCATCACTGCTGACTTTGACACAGTAATGTTGTTGGAATTGTACGTAAATTGTTGAAGTGTTTTGCCCTTTGAAAATAAATCTGTACAACTAACTTTTTTTTCCCCCCAAGAAAAGAAATGGAGGCAGAGGCAGACACCGGGCAGGGTGCTAGAGTTAGAGGCAACAGTGCCAATGCTTTGATCCCTGTAATTCTGCAACCAAGGTAACCTACACGCAGCTGCATGGACAGACAGACACACAGGGGCAACAGATGGGGGAAAATGTCCACTAGCACACACGCTCGACAGACGGTATTTGTACAGGGGTATGTACCTCTGCTGAGAAATGTATCCACGACGTAACGAAGCATACAAGGGGTAAGGTGATGAAACCTTCTTAGACATAAGCAAACACCGTGAAGGCATGAGTGGCTGGGCCTGGGGGCTCAGGATCTGAGTCTCGGGGAACACCAAGGTCAACTGGCATAAGAAAATCGTTTACATTCTGCTTTGGTGAGTAGCCATTGGGGTCTCGAAAGCACATGAGTGGCCAGCTATGGTACGACTATTGTTCTCTCCTTATGCAGAGGAAGGAAGAGGGTAAAAATCAAAGACGCATGGAAACAACCCCAGTGGGCTAAAGGACCACATGAAAATTGGTCTTCAGAAGCGCTAAATAAATGGTGTCCAGCCACCAGTACCAATTGCTCTGAAAAAGATCCCTTTGAGAGGTCCTGGAAAGAGTGGGAAGATAATGTGGAATAAAACTCCCAATCATAAAAATGATCAGGCCTATTGGTCAGATTAGTTACCCTCCAAGAACTGAACTCACCCCCTGTAGCTCAATTCTTAGCCAACCAATACCCAGCTCCGTAAGAGGAACACTACACTAGGGACGAGCTACAGTGTCAGCTACTAGAGATCAAAGGGCAGCATGCTCCATTCAAGGACAAGCTTCAGAAGGGATAGGGAAGGAAGAGGAACGGAAACAGGAAACCCAAGCAGGAAGTGGAGGAAGTGGTGTTCCCTTGAAGCAATTGCCTTCAGGGATGAAACAAAATGCCTATGAATTGTTGGATGGGAAACTGGTGACCTGCTCTGTAAACCTTCTCCCAACTCGCAATGAAAAAATGAGGCACACGCTGAATATGATTAAACAATTGTATGAGACGCGAAGGATATGCCAATAAAACGTTTGTTTTTTTGAAGTTCAATAAAATAGATAAAACTGGAAACAGAAAAGACTTACCCAATATTCTCTCCAGCTCTTCACATCTCTTCATCTCACCAACAAATTTTCTTTGAAAGGAACTTACATTCTGGTTGAGCTGTGAGAGCAGAGAAAACTGCTTTAAATCTGCTAGTATTTTGGCATTGATTTTTTTTTCCTTTTCTAACCAAAACTCATTTGTGAAATCAGAATGAAAATACCCAGTACTGGGGAGCGAGGACTTGGGGGAAGGTACACTTTCACAAAACCTCCTGGAAGGGAACGTAAGTTGGCAGGGCTGCTCTGCAGAGCAATTTGGAAAATTGTTTTAAAAGCCAAACAAAACACTTCAAGCAGATCCTTTGGCACTGTAATCTCTCGTAAAGAGATTTCTCTGAAGAAAAAAGTATGGATCTGGATAAACAAGTTATCTAAAATATCATCAAGCCCAGGAATTACTCCTCCAATAGAGAGTAAAACAATAACCCAAACATCCAGCCAAAGAAAACTGACTAAAAAAATAAATGGTGGTCTAAAGCCATAGCATGGAATCCTACTGAGCAAGAGCAAGAAACAAGAACCAACGTGCTGCGTTGGCCGCAACCTGGGTGAAAGTAAAATTCCTCTGCTAAGTGAAAGAGGCCAGTCACACCACACAGTTTCATTTATCTGAAACGCCAGGAAAAATCAAATCTATAGAAACAAAATGTCAGTTTGTAGTTGCCTAGAGCTGGGGGTTAGGAGCCCTGGTGGCAAAATGGATTAAGTGTGGGGCTGCTCACCACAAGGCTGGTCATTTAAATCCCCCAGCCGTTCCACACAAGAAAGACGAACCTCCCTGCTCCCATAAAGAGAGAGGCAGACAGTCCGGAAAATCTTAGGAAGCAGTTCTATCTGTCCTCTTGGGTCGCTCTGAGTGGGAACTGCCTCCCAGCACAGCAGTGGGCTGGCTTCTAAAACCCAGTGATCTGCACTGTCAATGTGGACATTTTAACAAAAGTTTAATCGAAAAATGTTCCACTCATACAACCCATCGCTATGCAGTGATTAAAAATTAAGTTCCAAGTAGCCAGCTATTTGATTCTATTGAGCAACACATATTTTATTTTAAAGTTTAGGTATGGTGATAGTATTTGGTTGTAAATTTTAAGCATTCTTATCTTTCGGATACTCGACATTTATAGGTAACATTATACTTGTGTGTCTGAAATTTGCTTCAAAGTAACGCAGGGTGAGCAAGGAGAGTGAGGGGCGAGCAGGAACCAAGGGGACCCCGAGTGAGGGGTACTGCAGGCTTCAGGGCACTGATCACAGCATTTGATTTTCTGACATCCAAAGCTTAACCAAAGCATATTTCAAAAGTACTGTAAAAGAATATTTAATAAAATGAAGAAGACTGTTCTTATATGAAAACCATAGGCAATACAATCAGTGTGTATCTAATGTTCTGAAACTTATGTGCACTAGAGATATTAAAGTGATACTATGTAGCCCAAAGTAACCAAAAAGCTGAAGGGCTTATTCCTAGGTACCGTGTTATGGAAGACGTGAACTTATTCTTAGGTCTTGCAACTTCCCGACAATACACATAAATTACTATCACCCTTTGTAAAACTTGTCAGTTTTACATTCGTGTGGAATGGTGTGCAGACAAATCTCTCCTGTGTCTTGCATTGGTACAAGTCATTCGTATAAAACCAACAAACAACTTCTTACGAATCTGCTCCAACCTGAACAGTATGCAACCCGAGGCTCAATTCCTGTTGTAGACATTCTTTTGAAAGAATCAAGCAGAAGCAAGTTGGAGACTCTATTTCACTTCTGCCCGTCACATTCTCATTCATTTCTGGAAATCATCCTAGCCGCTTCCAAGTCCCTAATGATTCACACACAGGCTCTTTCCAAAGATCTGACAATGGTAAGATGAAGCTAATCAGCACTCAAAAGCTGTCTACATGGGATACTTCTCAGAGGGAACACGCCTTTCTCCTACACCACACATTTGCTCAAATCGGGTGTGATAGTTTTGCAAACAGTAAATGCTATAAAAAGAGGTTAGTTTTTAAGGCAGTGATACAGACATGATGGAATTTGACACATGCCATGTCTCTCTCTCTACATCTCACTCACACACACACACACACACACACACACACACACACCCCTCCTAATTTCTCAACATGGGCAGGTTCCAAAGACCAGGATGCTCATGTGACAATTGGTGTTACAGAAGAATGGAGGATGAGCACATCAAATCATAAAGTGGAGGATAACTACATCATTACACAACTGCCAAACTACAACTTGATACAACAGCCAAACCACTGAGAACTCAGGCCCATCCAAACTGACACACCACCTTAAGCCTCACAGCCAGACCTCCCACCACCACCAGACGTGGGTGAGTGTCCTGCACAGTCAGGTGGAGGATTTCTTACTACTGTCATAAATGGGAAACACTGGAGAACAGGGCAGTGAGGAGGTGGGGTAACTTTTTCTTTTTTCTTCCTCTCCCCTGTTGTACTATTTCCTCTCTCTGACAAAGTCTGGATTTCTTTCTCCGGAGGCACCAGTGGAATAAAGCGCCACTTTGACATGGAGTCGTTTGAAGGCCAGAACGTCGGCAAAGTCTGTCCAGTAGCGGAGGGGCTGAAGGTGAAATTCCGTCTGAGATGCAGACTGTTCCCACAGTGAAGTGAACTGTCCCTTCGTTGAGTCCTAGGCAGTGCCCTTTCCCATCCAGGTCTTCTCGTTGGCGGTTGCCACAGAAATTCCTGCCCTTTGAAGAGTTACTAAAGGAAGAGGGGAAAACGGGCCAATTCTGCTGGCAAGAAGCCTGTGGCCAGTGACCCCATGTGGGGGATGCAAGGTCCCTGAAAAACTCCAAGATTCAAGAGTTTCAGAGATGACCTGGAGCTGTCTGCACTGGCACTCATGCCGTCTGATGCATGCACATGCGTGTGCACACACACACACACATTCTCATGCATATGTGCTTGCAAACACATGCACAATCAGTACACAAACGTGCACACACACATATTTGCTTATACTCTGGAAGCCTAGCACCACAGGGGGAGGAGCTCACGTTGGCGTTATAGATCTACTTCTCCTTTGGGACAGACGAATTCCAAGCACACGATCCCCCGCCTTGTGTGACGGCACTGGGTGAGACGGGAGCCTGGGTGGTGAGGAGGACATTTGCTCTAGCCCCTCAGATGGGATGTGGTCGCTCCTGTGGCTGAAACGCCCATCTCCCTCACTGGGCCACAGAATCTTCCGGGCCAGGAGGCTGTGTGCTAATGTGCCTGGGTTGCGGGACCCAAAAGAACACTGGGTGAAACCCATCACCCAAGGGTTTCACCTCAGGGGCCAACCCAAAGAGGACCAAGGTTGGACCGTGGGTGGGGCATTCCCTTTTGAGTCAATGCCCAAGCAGAACAGAGAGGAATTGAAAGTGTAGCCCGCTGCAAATGGTCACCTGAAGACGCGACTAGCAAAATCAACAAAAAGGGCTAGGTCTTCTAGCAGGCGCCTGGCAACCACGACTGCCCATTCTGGTCAGTCACAATAGCTGGGGCCTGACAGATGGGAGGTTCCTGTAGACCACACCTGAGATCCCTGAGGCTCCCTGGAGGTGACTGCTCTGAGAACAAACCCTAGGCGCCTCTGCAGTGGCCTTGTGGCTACATAACCAACTGGCTCCAAAACAAAACAAAATTGAAAACAGAGATCAGCCCCCAGCGCTGGGTGACTTTTAAAAACCTTCTACAGGAGACCCTTCAAGTAGCAATCGCTTTCCAGAGAGGAGAACCTAGGAGGATGAGGGAAACTAGATCCATGGAAACAGAAACAACAGAAAGTAAATGACAATACTAAACATAAATGTCAATGAGCGATTCATGCAGAAATGGCTGAGCAGGGTCTTACACTGTTGTGCACCCTCCCTCTACAGAAAACACAATAAAAGACATGTATTCTTTATAAAGACTAGGTCCTGCTCAATAGTCTGTTGTCTGGGTGTTGGGTCTTTTCCTTCCCAGCACTTAACAAAGTTCAGGAGTAGCAACTGTGCCCGTGGGTCCACGGTCTGTCTCCCGCAGCTACACACACAGAGGGGTCTTCTCCAGGCCCCAGCATCAGGAATCGTGCCTGAGGACAGTTGGTACTGGGCTAAAATGCTTGTCCTGCATTCAACAATCGACCACAGTGGGCCCATTCAGCCGGGAGAAACAGGAATGGGCAGAGCAGGCCTGGGGGTGGGAGTCGAGTTTGTGCCCTCCGCGGTGGAGACGCACAGCGGGCAAGGGAACAGACACACAACCCGTGTTTACTGAGACCGGTGCTGCTACCCCCGGCCGGGCACGGGCTGTACACCGTCTTCCCCGTGTGATTACTAAAAGCTGCGGAAACCCCTTCGGCCTAGGAGCTTCCTCCCAGCACAGCACCAATTCCGGCGCTGTGCCCTCCCCGACCCTCTATGCCAGCTCTCCCCTGGGGGTCACCGCCTCCGAGAAGCCCTCTCTGACTGCCCCGCCCCAGTCCTGAGACTCCTACAGCAAACAGCGTCTGGGCACCGTTGTTAATGTTGACTGTGGGTCTCCAGGCACGCCCGGAAGCGCCCGCGCTCCGAGCGGCCTGGGGGACCCCGGGCCGGCAGACCCGCAGTTACGGGGCCAGGGAGCGGGGGCCGGGTGTTGACCTGGGCACAGCCGCCCCGGAGGAAAGAGCGCGGGGCTCGGCTCGGCGCGACTTCCGGTGAGTAAACTGAGGCGTCCGCGGCCTCCCCGGCGCCCGGGCGGGCGTGGGAGGGCACGGGGCTGGCGGTGACACTCACGTCTCGGAACTGGACCAGGCCTTTCTCGCCCAGGGCGCTGAGGCACTCGTAGGCCGTGCCTGCCTGCAGGAAGAGCTGCGCCAGGCACATGCTCTCGCTCCGGAACAGCGAGCCCATCGCGGCCGGCGGCGCGGGCGCGGCGCGCGGGGCAGCCTTTCCCGACGGCCCGGCCGTGGCGCCGCCACATGAGGCGCGAAGCTGCAGCCGCTGCCGCTGCCGCTGCCGCCGCCCGCCGCCACCGCAGCCAGCGAGGCCCCGCCCCCGCGCCACAGCCGGTTCCTGTTCCGGTTCCGCCTCCCGCTCAGCCCGCCCACCGGCCGACCAATGGCCGCTCGGAGTTCCCGGAGGGGGCCGCGTCGGGGCCAACCGGCGCCACCCCCGGGGTGAACAGCGGCCGCCTTCGCACTCTGCGGACCCGCGGGAAAACGGCCGCTGCCTTGCGGCGTAAGCGTTTTTAAAAACCAGCTGTATTAACGTGCCGTCAAGCTCATGCGACTTGAGTGTCCCCTCTTGGCATTTTTAGTGGAGTTCCCATCACAGTCCGCTTTTAGGGCACGTCCACCAACCCCAAAAAAGATCGCCCGCCGCCCGCGTCCGGGCAACCTGGGCGGCAGACTGGCTGTGCGTGCGCCTGCTCTGAAGACACCGAGTCGGGTCGCTGGCCCCGCACACTAGATAGCCTTTCCCTCGGGCCACCGGAGGCAGTGTCCACGCGTGCATCGCCGGCCGCACGACTCGGTCCGCGAAACGGCTCTAGCATCTTTCTGGCTCCCGCTGCGTTTGGAGCAAGATGCGAACCAGCAACCTCCGCACCCTACCCCGGCCCGCTGCCTTCTCCGAGCCTCAAACACAGGAGTCCCCTCCTCCCTCCCTGACCCCATATCCAAACCCTGGGCCATCACAGTTTTTATTTCTCCATCCTGCCTACTTGTCCGTTGCCAGGGTCAGCCCCACGGAGCACCGACGCCGCCTTGTTTCTGTTCTCCGAGAAAGCTGCGAGAATTGCAGCAGTAGCCCCTCAAGAACGACTTCTGAATGCAGCCGTGAGTGTACTAACTCGGAGCTTGCAGGGCCCAGTGTCAGGCCAAAGTCACTTCTTTTCCTTTTTGAAGCACGAGAGGCTTGCCAAGGAAGCCCAAATCACCAGCCTCTATTACATATCATTTCCGGGGACTTGGAACCAATTTCCCACAAATAGCTTCGATCTCAAGCTAGTTCCACTAATTTCCGGAGACTTTCTGAATCACTGCAATTAATCAGTGGGGTTTCCTTTTCTTGGACAAAAGGCAACGTGCAACTAACTCCCTTATGGTGTGTGAACCCATGGAGATACAAATGAGGGGGGGGACTCCCAAACTTCCCCCAGATAATACACACAGGTTGCTCCTCAGAAGTGGGGAGAGGAAACTTCACCTCAAGTTCTTTGGAAGCATTATCAGTCCCCAGAGAAGGGCATCACAAAGAGGGTCAGCAAAAAGGAGGGAAGCCCTCAAGGGCTGCAAAGGGCTCAGACCCGGTAGTGTACCTTCTCAAATGGGTCTGGACCCACCTGATGGCACACAGTGGTCAAACATACATAGAGACCATATGTGCATTGTACAGCAACCCTGTTTAACGTTTAAATAGTACATGCGATACTCGGGTATGGTGACACTTGGGATGGTGAATGCAACAGCTAAAGTGTGGGGGTCTGCTCGGCATCCAGCCCTGTACAGCAAAGTCCAAGACCATCGGTGAAGAGATGCCCAAATCAAGTGTTCCTATTCTGCTGAACAGTAGGAAAGCGATGAAGAGTTGATTTGAAAATAGGTATCCGATCAGAAGGAAGATTGAGGCAAATCTCTCAAATTGGCCCGGAATACAAATGTTCAGTCTATGTGGACGGTCGGGTTTTGTGTCAACTTGGCTGGAGCGGGAGTGTGAGTGGCTTGGCAGGTAAGGCCTGGTCATCCCCCATGATGTGATTTAACGCAAACAACGTTAAATCACACTAGGGTCAGCTATGGGTAGCCCATCAGCTTTGATTAGGGTGGGAAGCCACACCTTTACTCCAGTCAGTTTACTGCCCTGATGCTATTTCCCTGTGGGTATGGCCTGCTTCCCATTAAGTGGACATGTTGGAAAACCCTGTGTACTTTTTACCAGGTCTGGAGCATCAATCTCTGGCCTGCAGTATTACCTGCCATCCTGGGAGCCATCAGCAGCCTGTCGTCTGGCCTGTTGGTGTTGCATTCTTGCCCCCTCTGCCACCCCCAGCCTGTGACCTCCCTGATGGTCTTGGGTGCATCTGCCCCCCAAGGCTAAGCCAGTTCAGGGGAAGCCTCTCACTAAACATCTGACCAATAGCCTTGGACTTGCCCATTTTCCTGCTATGAATGTATTTCTGTGTGTGCCTATGTAGCTGTGTCGCTGGTTTAGATTCTCTGGAGAGCCCAGCCAAGGTCTGCCCTGCTCCAAACATCTGCCAGCAGCCTTGTTCAGTTACATTCACTTCAATAAGGACATGCTACAGAAATAAAATGTTTCCTTTATTAAGTACAGAGAGGCTGTTGGAAGTCAGGGTCTGTGGCCTTTAAGAAGTCAGGTGGTGGATCAGCTCCGTGCTCTGCACATCCTAGTCCAGGGCCCACTGAGGAACGTTGCGAGGAGGAGGAAGGAGGCCAGGAGCAAGCCCTTGGCAATGCACTGAGAATCGGGCTCCCCTGCAAGGCAACGGACCAAATTCAGTGGCATTCTTATCTCCTAGCTTTTTCTGATCATTACTCAGAACGAGATAAGCAGAAACATGCATTTCAAAATGGCAACATTATCAGTAAAAACTTCCCCATACATTCTGGAGTTCCTGGTGACATTTATCTACTTCAGTAGCAACGGGGCGCCCCAACTCCACAGCACTGCCTCATTTGCTGGCTCTCCCAAGCTTTCTGCCAGGGTGCACACAGTCCCGCCACCTTTGGTATCACTCCTTTTTGTGGGTGGCATTCAAGGCCTCCTCCTCCGGCAGGTTCCTGCCTTACACAGGGTTCCGGCGTTCGCAGGTTTCACTGTACTTTAAAATTGCGTTGACTATTTTCCATTGCTAAGAGCATAACGGTCACCGCTCGAGAAGTTGCTTTACCCTACCTTGATAGTAGCGCGTCAATGGATAGAGCAGCTGGGGCCAACACACCTCATTCCGTCTACAGTCGTACTCGGTAAAATTGACCTGGAATCTGCAAGACATTTCCGGTTACGACCATGATGAGGGGCAAACAGCAACACCTGGTGAGGAAAGGCATTTCCTGCCTCCTGTGTTCGCCTCTTGTCCTAATCACGTCCACCAGGTGTTACCTTGTCAGTGGGCGGGGAAGCTGGGCAGGTATTTTGATGAACTGGACAGATGCGCTCAGAGGGAAAAGGCCGACCTTGTCTTCGCAGGTCAGCCCACACTGGTACTGCCAGGTCACCGACGAGAACCTGGGAGAGAAGAGGATGCTGGCAACACACCCACGACCCGCTTCCAGTCTGTCCAGAACTCCATGGCTGTCACCACGCAGACAGACAAGAGGCTCTCTAACCGGCAATGCAGATTCCATGTCTTAGGAGTGGGCAGTTTCCAACGTGAACCACAGGAGAGGGACTAGCCTAATGGGCCCTCACAGACCCATCACCTGGCTACAGCCAACAACGCTGCCCATCTTGACCTCGCTCTCTTCTCTGGTCACTTCATTCATTGGGGGCTTGTCTCCAATGATAAGATATGAGAAAACAGCAGCAGAGACTACTCCTGTTGTCACTGTCCTGCAGGCCACTGGGTTGACTGGCCCATGGCGAGTCCTTGTGACGGAGGGGTTTCTGGGCTGGAATCTCTGCAGGGGGGACAGAGGGCCAGGTCTTTCCTCCCACTGAGCCACCCGGGGAGTGCTGAACCTCTGCGCCACCAGGGCGCCTTCGGCTGCCGCTACGCTACCAACCATTCTTTCATTCACTTTTCTTCCAACCAGTACCTGAACGTAGTGGACTTTTGATCCATTACTAGAAATATAACTTTCAGTGGCACTCTGGGAGTATCCTGAAATAATCGTACAACCTCACACATGACGCCGTAGCTTTCTGGTGGCAATACTACAAGTGGATGGCCAGCCATTCAGAGAAGGCTCTTCAGGCGCCTGGCACGGTACTAACATGCTCTGTGCCCCTCCCCATCCTGTCCTCCATGCAGTTCTGTATCAGCTGCTTCTGTCTGCCCAGCTTCGCTTCTTTCTTCTGGAAATTTTACCCAATTTCCCCTTGAGGGACCACTCCTCATTCTTGGTTCCCATGGAAACTAAGGGACCACCGGCCTTATTCCCTGAATAGAGGGGTTTGGGTGAGGGGTGATGGCCTGGGCCCAACCAATCAGACTTGATTGCTCTCCCATCAACGTGGTTGGTGCAGAAGAGTGCACATGACTTGAGTGAACCAATAAAAGCGTGCCCTGATCTTAAAGAAGGAGGAAGTTGGTAAAAGGGCTGGAAGCTTGAGATCCCTCTGGAGGAGAACCTCACTGTGGAGAAGGCGAAGCCACTGGAGAGGGAGCTCAGAGATCCCTGCGTGGGTCTTTGGAGAGGAGAACCCTAAGTTTGATATGTGCCTGTGCTCTCGGGAACCTGAAGGATTTAGAGCAGTGGTTCTCAACCCTAATGCCACAACCCTTTCATACAGTTCTTCATGTGGTGGTGACCCCCAACCATAACATTACTTTCATTACTACTTCATCACTGTAATCTTGTTACTGTTACAAATCAGGCAACCCCTGTGAAAGGGTCGTTCGACCCCCGAAAATGTTTCGACCCACAGGTTGCAAACCACTGGACTAAAGTCTCCCTTTTGCTTGAGTCAGTGTGAACTAGGAATCTTTTGCTTCAAAAGGAAAGAGTCCTGACAGGTTAAAGCAGCATCATCCTTGCAGATAAGGGAACTGCCACACAGGTCACACAGCTTGGAATCTGAACCAGGCTGGGCTGGGTCACCCTCGAGTGCCCTGGATAGCCGTGGATTTCAACCCAGTGCCAGCACTACAATTACAAAGCCACTGCTGTCAAGGCAGCGCTGACACAGAGCAGAAGTGCTCTGGAGAGCTTTAAAGGCTGGGATGGTTCACGGACGTAGCTTCATCTTTCTCCCGCAGGAAGGCTGGTGGGTTTGAACCGCCCAACCTGCAGCTCGCAGCACAACATTTAACCCACCACCAAGAGGCCCCTTATTCATGGCAAACCTCTCAGTGCTCGTGAATGTAGGCGGATGGTGCTCTCTGCAGTCTGTAACCCTGCGGTTCTGGATCCTTCTCCTGGAGGCGCCCTACCTTGCCTCCACGCCAACGATCTGCTGCTGAGCCACGCCTTCCACAGCGCCAGCCTCTGCGACGAGGATGCGGACGCTCAGCTGAGCAGGGATATTCAGGCAGACCCCCGGCACGCCGCCCGCAGGCTGGCCAGCACCCAGGTCAGCAGCGTCTACACCTGGAGAAATCTTCAGTCAGGGGTTTAAAAAAATACTCGTCCTACAATGACGTGATTTCAAGAACGAGGGAGCGAGAAGGAATACTGGATACAAAGTGCACTGCTGCTGTTGTAGTTGAGGACAAGTGGGCTCCGACTCACAGCAGACCACGCCCTCCCCGCCCCCAACACCATCAGGGCAGGCCAAAGTGACCAGGCTCCACAGCCCCAGCTCAGCAGGGAGGCGCTGCCAAAGCAGGGTGTCACTAGGGTTTAGGTCACCTGTCATTCAGCGGGGTTGCTCCTCACTAGCCATCCGATGGGCCAAGGTGCCTGCGATTGGGCAGAGTGGGGGAGCTGTGTGGAACCCTGGGGGTAGGGTGGGGAAGACCCAGGAGGGAAGGGTCCTGGTGGTACATGGTTAAAGCCCTTGACCATTAACTGAAATGTCTGCGGCTAGAGCCCAGCAGCCACTCCACAGGACAAAGATGTGGTGATCTGTTTCTATGATGGTTATCTCGCTGCGGGGGCTGGCTGGGAGGCAAAGGGTTTGGAATCTTTAAGGGCACAGACTGCCAAGTCTTTTCTCCCACGGAGCTGCTGGGGGACTTCGAACCACCAACCTATCAGTCAGCAACTCAGCACTCAGCCCTGGTGCCACCAGCATCACAGCAGTACAGCACCTCCCGCAGGCTCGGCTTGCGTGCCGCATCCTAACAGCGTCTCCCCAAGGTGCAGGCCGTCCGTGGTTGGAACAGATTGTCCCGGGACACCTAACAGAGCTGTCAACCTGTACACCAGCCAGTTGTTTTACCCCTGTGCTACGGGGCTCTTTCTCAGGACCCCATTGTTTTAAATGGTGTCACGGTGAAATAGAAGCTCGGTTTTCTAGTTCTCAAGCATGGAATGTTGTCTTTTAACTAGAAACGCACGTCACATGAACTGGTCTTTTTCCTTCGTGCATGTGATTGTGATCAGTGTTCGCTTGTGTGGGGAATCAAGCTGAGGAAGGGAAGCCAAAGAAAGAAAAGGAAACGCCGAGTAAAGCAAACACTTTCACACTGCGCCGGACCTCTGTCACAAAGGCAGCTTGACATCGACGGGTGTCCTGTGAAAGAACAACTCTTCGCACAGCAAAGGAGGAGGACGGGAGAGCGCCGGTCCCACACCACTGCCCAGAGTCCACTCTGCCTCCCCGCTCCCCCCACAGGACAGGGCAGAACTGCCCCGTCTCCCAGGCTGCCAGCTTTACAGAAGCAGACGGCCGTACCTTTCTCCTGCAGGATGCTGCTGGGCCCAAACCACTAACTTGTGCTGAGCAGCTGGGCGTTTCAACCTCTGCACTACCTGTGCTCCTTGGAAAGCCCAGGGCAAGCACCCGACTGCGAACCAGGTCAGCCCCACATTCCCATGTGCGAGGTGGACGTACGTGTGATTTCCAGCCAGCCGCCACTCAGGTCGCTGTAATCGGAGTTGCCCCTCCCGGCAACGTGAGTTGCTTGAACTAAAGAATCAAGCATCTCCACGGCAGCCTCCCTGCAAGGCAGAACAGCCCGGCTCAGCTCACAGGACGGACGCACGGTGGCCCCCACACCTGCTCGGTGGCTCTGCTGGGTGCCGGCCTCCCTGGAAAGGCCAGGAGAGGTGAGTGAATCAAATAAAACGGGGAGCCCGTGGAGGGGACAGGGCAAGTGCTGTCACTGAGGGGGCTGCCACAGACATCACAAAGCAAAACGCATATAAAGCACTGAATGGAAAACTGTAAACTGTCACCCTAATCACAATAAGGCACACACAACCAAGTGACCACGGCAGCAACCACACATTCTCAAATGTCTGCCTTTCACTTTCACAGCTATCTAAGAATTGCTCATTCGTTTCTAACGTGCCACACTCAGGTGGCTAGACTCGATGTTTTGAATAAACGTGATTTTGCTTTAAAAAAAAGCTTTCTCTTTTGAACTGCAGGAGCTGGTCCTTTGTCCGGGTTCCAAGGAGCAGAGCCGACTGCAGCAGACACGCCAGCCTTGGTGTGATGGAAAGGTTTCATCCCCACACAGCCTGCTACGGAGGCGCCCTCGGTCTCGCCGTGGAATCGCTCGCACTCACCTGTGCCCACGTTTAAATGCGGACTTTAATGCCATCTTCAGTGCTGTTCTGGTTGAGTCCGTTTGGAACAAACCACGCACAGAGCGGATGAGCAAGACACAAACCAGGAATGGCAAAGGGCCGTGAGTCAGACACATGCAAGAACCCCTCACCTGAGATGACTACATTTCTGGTTGATGCCGACTTCCAAAAGGCACCCGGACAGTGCATTGTAGCCAAACAAGACCGGTGTGAGCGTTGCTGACAAGCACAGGCCGCGGCCAGCTACAAAGTAACAAAATTGCCCCCTTACTCTTTGTGCTGAGAGAAAGGAAAGCGTCACTTCAGGGTGTTCCTTGACAAGTCAAGGAAACCAAATCTGGAGTTTCCAGAACGGGGATGGCTGATTTGCACGCTCATCCTCTCTCTGCACCTGAGCACCAGCAGTTTACTCTTGACCTGACACTGGCAGGTACTGACAGGAGCCCCAGTGGCGCCGTGGTTGAGAACTTGACTGCTAAACATAATGGGTGGGGTTGGGACCCAGCAGGCGCTCGCTCTGGGAGAAAAAGGAGGCCATCTAGCCCAGGTCGGATGACGGCATCCGGAAGCCTCTGGGGAGGTCGGCTCTGCTCTGTCCTACAGGGTCACTGTGAGTTAGCTACAGTCGCTTGGACAGGAGTGGGTTTGAGTTTGGGCCAGTGTGGGTATCCCCTGGGACTCTAAGAGCATGGAGAACACAGGGTGACAGCTGCACATCCCGAGTCATGCCAGCAATCCCAGCAACCGAAACTGATCACAGGGGGTCTTGGCCATTCACTTACATGCTGGGCCTTGTATGTTTCAGATGCATTAAGAGAACATGCAATCATTGTGTAGGTTTTTGTTCATGGGAGCACTCTTTTGAATGCCAGTGCTTTGGTGATATTATTGCAATCAATAGTTACTGATCTGAACTCCAAAGTGGCTTCTCTATCATTTGGAAGATGCTATTCTCACATCTCCCATTAGCATCCTTCTGGGAACAGACAACAATGGGCCGCCCCAGCTTCTGTCTTTTCCTAATAACCCACAGCTCTCTGTGAGCCGTGAAGGGGAACTATTTCTTGCTTAGTTGAACGTGCAGAAGCAGCAGGAGGGAGCAGAGCCACCTCCTCCCCCACCCACCCCTCAAACAAACCCAGTGGGCTTTCAAATAAGTGGTTCTGCGGTAGGAGTCAAATTATAAGGTCTCATCGGCCGAGGCCTAACCAAACTCAGTTACCAGTCTGCCAGAGGTACAGCGTCGTGTTCAGATCCTTCCACTTGGCATGGATGGCACGGACGGGCTTGCCCAGCTGGTAGCCTAGACAGACAGCAAACAATAGTCAGCGCCGCCCCTTCCAGAGCAGGTCCAGCTGAGCGTACCCAGCCCCGTCCAGTGACACGCCCAGGTCCGCACAGCAGACAGGCAGCACAGCCACCGGCTTTGAGAAGTGCCTGGAGGGAAGGGCACCACCTTCCTTCCTTTCGTTTTGTTTCCAAAGACACATTTTAAAAACAGAACCTGAGAAACTGGGAACAGACATCCCATATGCCCCAGGGAGCCCTTTGCTGGGTCTCTATCCTCAAGAAAGAAGAGTCCTGGCTTCAGCAGACACAGGCACGCCCATGTTCAGTGCAGCGCTGTTCAAAACAGCAAGAAGGTTTAGAAACAACCTAAATGCCCATCAGGGGAAGAATGGCTAAAGCAACCCTGGCACAGACACACCGTGGGGTATGGCGCATGCCTAGAGAGTAACGAGGACACCAGGAAGCAACGCAAGGCATAGCTGGACCTGGAGAACATTACGCTGAATGAAACTGGCCTATCGCAAAAGTACAGATGCTAGATGAGACTGCCGTTGTAAAGACTCCACACCCAAGGAAACAGGTTTTGGAGATTGCCAAGGGGCTGGGGGCGGGGGGCAGTGGGGACAAAAGAGGGCAGATGAATCAACAGGCTGTTCATTTGGCTGAAAAGGAAGCCGTCTGTCCACAAGAGGTGGCTGGTGCAGACATGACCCCCCCTCCAAGAGCATCCAGAATGTGGGGCGGGGTGACGGCTGGCCACACACAATGATTCAGGTGGTTGATGACAACAACCGGCTGCCTTCTTCTGGATAGGACTATCGTTTCAGAAACCCGAAGGGACAGTGCTGCGCTGCCCGGTGGGTCACCTCTGAGCTAGAAGTGCCTCTGTGGCCATTTTGTTACCATACAAGACAAGCTCGTCTCAAAACAGATTGAGCGGGCATCAAAAAATAAGAGAGAGGACGGTATCCCAGAAGGTCAGTCAAGTCAGACTTTAGAGACACACACCCAACCAGGGAGAGGCCCCTGCCACCATCACTGCGCTCCAGGGGCCTCTTACCAAGGTGTCTCGGATGGAGACCAGTGATGCACCGGTGTCTTACCTGGATTTCCAGATAACTCCTCTTGACTGTCACTGTTAGAGCTGACAAATTTCACTGTGAATCTCTGTGTCATTGTCCCTAGATATAAAAGAAAATAAAAATATCAGAGGAACCTTTCCTGAGGAAGAGAAATTCCCCCCTAGGATCTTAACCATTTACTTTGAAGACGCCCTTTTTTTTTTTAGTCATTATATTGGGGGCTCGTACAACTCATCACAATCCATACATCCACTGTGTCGAGCACATCTGTACATTTGTTGCCCTCATCATTCTTAAAACATTGTCTTTCTACTTGAGCCCTTGGTATCAGCTCCTCATTTTTCCCCTTCCCTCCCCCACCCTCCCTCCCAACCCCTTGATAATTTATAAATTATTTTTTTATGTCTTACATCGTCCGATGTCTCTTCACCCACTTTTCTGTTGTCCATCCCCCAGGGAGGAGGTTGTATGTAGATCATTGTGATCGGTTCCCCCTTTCTACCTCACCTTCCCCTTTCCCTCCTGGTATCACTACTCTCATTATTGGTCCTGAGGGGTTTATCTGTCCTGGATTCCCTGTGTTTCTAGCTCTTATCTGTACCAGTGTACATGCTCTGGGAAGACGCCTTTTGACACACAAAACCAGGCTCTGGGATTAGTCACGAACATGCCTGAGAAACAAGCCTGACTGTGTTGCATGTGCTGTGACTGTGAAACTCTGGAAGGAAGAATGAAAGTGGGGGTGGGGGCAGGCATGCTACTGCTACTTGCCAAGGCCCTTTTTCACGTGTAAAGACACTGCTCCGGCCTTTTGAGGTGCTGTTCACTTGTTAATTGCGGGTCTATGCTGCAGGTTGATCCAGGCCCCCACTTCTCAAACGAAGGCAGTGGTTCTCAACCTTCCTAAAGCCTCGACCCTTTAATACAGTTCCTCATGTGGTGGTGAGAACCACTGCCCTAAGGGGTCCCTCAGCTCCAGCTGGCTCTTGGGTTTGATGCTCACAGGGTGGAGTGGCTTGGGGCCCCACAAGCCTCATATTGTCCTCACTTTTCCCCCTTCCTTCACATTCTCTGAAGGATCAGTTTTTTATGGGCTTCATCCTGATGGGTTTCAGTGTTCAAATCTGTATTTCTGCATGCAGAGGGAATTCATTTCCTCAACACATATCATAACCAATATTGTATCGAACTAAAAGTTGGCATGGTCACTGCCTTTGTGTACGAAAGTGGATGTGAGTAAGTGAATGTGTGCACAGGAGGCCCTGGAAGCTGACGGGCGTTCGTATATTTAAAATGAAAAGGTGGGGGGGATCACTTCAAACCCAAAGCATCCTCTCAGCTCCCACAGTTACCTTTCTGGTGGGCATCAGCGCTGGCCCTGATGACTCTGACGTTTATCTCACTGATTGTATTATTATTCCATCTGAAAATATAGTGCTCTTCCACTGTCACGGTCCTGCGTGCTGACCTCGGATTGGAAAGCATTTCTGTAAGAGAGCAGGTCACCGAGTTAAAGAGTCTATGACTGTGGGTTCTCTCTGCTGGCCCTGGCCCTCTCAGCTCCTGGAAAACACAGTAGCACCACCACCTCCCCAGGAGGCCTTCCCTGGTCCCCAGGCAGGGCTGAGCGGCCACGTCTGCACCATCGTGATGCCCCGAACCAGGCCTCGCCTTGTTATCTCTGGGTCCCCAGCACCTGGCTCAGAGCCTGACATGAAGCCTGCCTGGTCAAAGAGCTGGTTACTGAGAGGATTAGGAACCACGAGCTCTCCCTTACAAGAGCCTGCAGCCTAGTCCACCACTGCTGGGTGCACACCAGGCACACAAGACGGGTTTCAAGTGTCACTGGGAAAATGGAATTAAAAGATGACGGAATTTTCCGGGAACTTTTGGAGCCCCTCACTGGTGAGAAGGCATGAATGGAATCGCTTCTCAGCCTTGTGGCTAAGATCAAGGGTAGAAAGCATGAATGGAATCCACGGGTTACATCCTAAAGAAACCCAAACAGTACCTGACATTAAAAACAGAAGTCCTGGCATTATCAGCCAGGCCATGCGGCTGACTTGGTCAGATCACAGTGGTAAAGTTCCCTTAGCCAAAAATGAAAGGATGGGCAAAGGCCAGCCAGCCAGAGGTGAAAACGCTATGTCCTGAAGAACTCTTTCACCTGTGTAAAAACCATGGCAGCTGAGATTCAGAGGAACTGAGCGCTCAGCAGGACCCACGGTCTCTCTCAGCCCACCCTCCTGAGCCTCAAGGCGGGGGTGTTGAGGAAACTAAGTCCGGCCACAGAAGTGACGGGAAGGAGGGCAAACCAGGAGGAAAGTCGTGTCAGAGGGGCAAAGGGGATGCGGTGGGAGAGCCGCAACCCTCCTGAAACTGTTGACACAAATATACTTCATTCTGGCTGCATGTCGCTTGTAGGAAATGACATATACACTTCAGGAGAGATGACACAAAGGTGGCGACTGTGCAATACCTGGAGGAGTGATGAATTCGTCTGCATCAGCTGCTGCCTCGTAGACGACTTTTGGTGTAATTATGCCTGAGGAAATACGTGAGCATCCATCAGCTGCCAGGGCCTCGTGCACACACTCACTCACACCCGCTCTCATGTGCAAATGTAGTAACCACGCCAATGGCATTCCCACTGCTCTCAACATCAAATGACACTCCAGCCTCACTGAGCAACACGGTTGGGTCCCAAACACCATGGGGAAGTGGAGGATAACTACATCGTATCACGAAGAGCAGGGTGACTCGATTTGCAGAAGGCCACGGATGCCAGTGAGAGCCTCCAATCCATCTGCAGGATCCCTACACGGATTAAAGCCCCGATGGCTCTGACCAATTCCCTCTGCCCACAGATGAGGGATATAAACAGCCTAGCTCTCAAGGAATATCGTAAACTCAATTTTGGGAGATGTTATTAGGTTAAAATGTGATACGTGATCATTTGATTTCCCTTTTGAACCATTTTAAATTTGTTCTAGTCTTTAATACTTCCTTTTTTTTTTTTTCCGCCATTGGGCTTTTTCTCTGGTTTGTTGTTTTTCAGGGTTTGGATTTTTTTTACTGTTTTCTAGTATATGAAGTCCAAGATGGGTGAAGCTATAGAAACAGTAACTGGATTCAGGGCTAATTAGGAGCTCAAGCTGGGGTGGTGGGAGTTGTAGGAAAATGGGGAGCTAATAATGAATACAAGAGGGGAGAAAATGCACTAGAACTCATTGTGGTGATGATCGTACAACTCTTTCTAATACGGCTGAAGTATGGAAGCATATGAAACGTGAACCAGATGTCAGTACAACTGTTAAAAGTAATAATAATAGAGGACGGTGACTACAACATTACAAAACTGCCAAACCAGAGAACCATGGCTTAGCGAAGGGGACAGATAACTAACCATCACAGCCCCATGGCGGCTGTGCCCCTTACTGGTCTGCAGAAGGGAGACTGTCGGAGAGTGGACTACTGTTGACAGCTGCAGTCAATGCGGACAGTGAGAGAGCTGTGAGGCTGAGGAGGTGTCCGCCTGAGGGGAGGGTCCCGCCAGGGAGGAACCGCATGAAGTCCCTGGCTGGGAGGGATGTCAAACAGTGTGCACTGTGGAAAACAGCTTGGCAAGTCCCCCGAAAGTTCAATTGCCCTCTGATCCAGCAATTTCCATTCCGAAAGAACTGGAAAAGAATACGGAAGCAAAGGTGGAAATACCACCCACATCAGACGTTCAGCAGGTAAGCACAAAGCGGTCCACGCGTGCACAGACGTCTAAAGGAGGAGGAAGCTCTGACCCGCTACCACCTGGATGCCCCTTGACAGCAGCATGCCAAGTGCTGGAAGCCGGTCCCAAGCACCACACTCCCGGGACTCCAATTCTCTTAAGTGGCCAGGTGGGCAAGTCCAGAGAGCCAAAGGAAGACTGGGGCTTGACAGGGGCTGGGAGGAGGGGCTAATGGCAGTGACTACTAACGAGTTTCCTCCTTCAGAGTGATGAATATTGTTTGAAAATGGATCCGCTGGTGGTTGCAAAACACAGTAAACGTACTAAGTGCCACCAAATTGGGCAATTTCAAAAGGTTCAGTAGAAAAGAACCGTGAGTCTGTCTCGTGGAATGGAAATGTTCTCAAGGAAAGCATCTGCCTCCGTAGGCATCTGAAATGTCCTGCAGTGACGGTGCAGGAGAAGGGACTGAAAGTCTAGTGAGACCAGCGCTCATGGTAGCGAGAGAACGGCCCATACCTCCTAGTACACCGGTTTTGATCTTCACCTTGTGAAAACCCCCGTGTTCTCCGTGTGCTTCCAAATCCACGACGCATTTGGCCTCAAAATCCTGGAGGAAGGCCACGGGGGCGTTCTGCAGACAATGGCCAGCCACAGATACCTGAGGGGGAAGGAAAAGCCCATTGGATTGTGACCACGCATCCAATCATCCAACAGGTCTGCTGCTGTGGCTTTCGCTTCCCCGGGGCAAGCGTCGAGGTGGGGGCAGCCGTCATTTGCTCAACAATCTGGGAGCCCCTGGTGGAGGGGTCACGAAGGAGTAGTATTTCATGAAAACAAAACGCAAACACCCCGGCTGCTCCGGGGCAGCCCTGAGAGCGGCGGGACCTGATTGGACCTCACTTTCTCTGCCACGCCTCAACAAGCAGGTTTTCGTGCACACACACCGTCCTATACTGCGCCCCACCTGACGGCACTTTGCAGCTGCTCTGCTGCTTACACACCCGGGGCTAAGGCCACCCTGCACCGAGCAAACCCATGGGCTGTCTCCCCACAGCTTATGTGCTTGGCCTGCCGGGGGGCTCCCTTTTGATCACTCTCGCGATCTTCCAGACTCTGTCACCATGCTGTGGGCACACAGCAGAGACGGCAGCCGAGCCCCAGCATGTCGGCACCCCGTTCACTGCCCAGGAAACAAAGCACTCGAGGGGCTCGCTTAACTATGATGCTTGCGTGATGGTGGGGGTCTGAAGCCGCACCCATAATTCTGGGGTCGGCCTGCACCATGAAAACCAAACGGTATGAAAAGGGGGACCGTTGGTTTTTGAAAGGGAACGTGTCACCTAAGGCTTCCTAGTCCCAAAATATGTTTGTAACTCTGGATTGTTGTATAACAGAATGATGTGTAAAACCAAATCAGACCCACTTCCACTAAGAAGCTGCCGACGCACAGCAACCTCGTAGAACTGCCCTTGAGGGTTTCTAAGGCTGTCAATCACTGTGGATTTGCCTCATCTTCCTCCTGTTGAGCAGCTGGTGGGTTCAAACTGCCAACCTTTTAGTTTGCAGCAAGTGGCTTAACTGCTGAACCACTGGAGCTCCTTGCAGTGTATGTATTTTTTTCATGCTAGGCAAGCATTGAGCAAATCACTCTGAGTTAGTGCAAACAGTGATATAGCCTGGGAAAGTTCTCTGTGGTCACTGTTAATTTTTTCGTAAAATCAGTTTCATTCAAACCTCATTTTTTTGTGACGGCCGATTTAAGAGAACAGCGTTCGGCTGTGAAATTCTGTTTCCTACTCTGGAAAAAATGCCGCAGAAACTGTTGAGATGTTGAGCACAGCTTACAAGGGCAGCATTATGGGAAAAACTCAAGTGTACATATGAGTAGTCTTCTCGTTTAAAAAAGGTGAAATGCCCATTGATGACAAACCCCGTTCTGGACATCCGTCAGCTTCCCGAAAGAAAATGTCGGCAAAATTCGTGCACTTGTGCTCAAAGATCGAAGGTGGACTACTACGAGTTATCTGAACTATCTTGGAGCTCAGGTCAGAGAATTTTAATGGAAGATTTGGGAATGCAAAGGGCTGCTGCGAAACTTGGGTTCTGACTGACCAAGAAAAAGAGGGTCCTATGGAAACATGCCGTGCTTTGAAAGAACAGCTCCGGAGGGACCCAGACTTCTTTTTTCCAAGGTCGCTACTGGTGACAAGACGTGGTGCTGTTCTTATGACCCTGAAAGCAAGCATCAGTCGAGCCAGTGCAAGATGCCATCCTCACCTTGCCCAAAGAAAGCTCTTCCAGTGAAATCAAAGATCAAGATGATGCTCATTTGCTTTTTTGATGTCAGGGGGACATTCCACCAGGTCAGATTGTTCATCAAGCTTTCTATTTAGAAGTTCTGAAAAGATTGCATAACAGTGTGCAACAAAAAAGGCCTGATTTGTGGCAGAACGGGGACTGGTTTTGCCACCATGACAATGCACCTGCTCATGCAGCCATCTCAGTGCGCCAGTTTGGGGCAAAAAACAACATGCCTCTCACCCCACACACCTGACTCACCTGGCCTCTGTGCGACGTCTTTGTTCTCATGAATGAAAAGCGACATAAAAGGGTAGCAATTTGATGAGTTTGAATAGCACAGATAGCAAACAGATGAGTTTGAAAAATGTTTCCGTGAATGGAATCGCAGATTTGACCCCTGGTGAGTTTCAGAGAGGGTGACCGTTTCACAGGAGTGGAAAGCCCCGTCTTTCTCCCATGCAGCAAGGTGGTTTTGAGCTGCTGACTTTGAGGACCACAGCCCAACACGTGATAACTACACCACCTGGGCATGAATTCACACGGAGATTTTTTTTAAACGGCAGTATGAGTTAGATGAACAATGGTGCTGTCAGTCCTCTCTCGGGGTGGCCCTGTGTGTGCAGAGTAGCACTGTGCTCCAGCAGGTCTTCAAGGTGAGGACTTTGGGGAAATAGATCAGCAGGCCTATCTTCCAGGGTAACTCAGGACAGGTTTGAACCTCTGACCTTCTGACGAGTAGTTGATTACTTAACCAGTGTGCCACAATAACAAAACAACAAACACAGCCACTGACTTGATTCTGACTCCTGGCGATCCTATATCCCTGCTCCTGTGAGGCTCCTAGGTACCCAAGCAAAATCGTTCTCTGTGGTGCCTGAGGCTGTTAATTCTTTATGGGAACAGACAGCCTCATCTTTCTCTCTTAGAGCGGCTGGTGGGTTCAAACTGCTGACCTTGCAGTTAGCAGCCCAACTGAGACCATAATAAACAGTAACAGGACAAGAAGGATAAGATGAAACAGCTCCGGCACATTGAAATATAAGTTATTACCTGTGGAACAGTGAAGTACTCCTTATCTACAGTCATAATTGGATCTCCTTGTTTGTAGCCAAAGTCTGAAAAGTCTTTTCGATCAGCATGCAAATGCATTTCAAAGGAAGAGGCTTGTTTCTGGGAACTGAAATCAGGAAGAGGGTGGTTACTTTTAGCTCCAGTCTGTTAAAACACAATTAGCCATTTACAAGTGCACATATTTTTTTTTACTTTTCTTAATCAGGAAAGCAGTATTTTGCGGGATATGAAGTGTAATCGCCGACAACTGTAAGAACACAGTGAGAGTTCCCACAGGCTCTCCGCTCCTTCTCCCACACCAAAAAAATCCCTACCAACAGTATTGATCTATTTCTTTTAAATGAAGTACAGTTTTTTCCAAATAACTAACACAAAATAAACTCACTGACCTGGTACGTAAACCACAAGCCCACTGCCAACGTGTGGATTCTGACTCACAGCGACCCTGCCCGGGGTTGCCAAGGCTGGGAGTCTGTGTGGGCGCACACAGCCTCAGCTTTCTCTCACGGCAGCTGGTGTGAGCTCAACCCCTCACACCGACTCACTGGATCAAAAAGCCAGACGCACAGCCAGAGAGTCGATTCCAACTCGTGGCGGCCCTACAGGACAGAGTGGAACTGCCCCTGGGGGATTCTGAGACTGTGACTCGTCACTGGAGGAGAGAGCCTCGTCCTTCTCTCACATAGCCAATGGTAGTTTCGAACTGCTGACCTTGCCATCAACGGCCCAACTTGGAGAGAATGGTTGGTAACTCCTGAAGTTATACCACGGAATGAGGTCGATCCATCTTTTCACTATTGGATGGTTCTACCTCTGTTTAGATTGAGCATGTTCATACTGCAAAGGGCTCTTTTCTAATTGAAATAAAATATGAGCAAAACCCCCACAAAAACAGTTCACCATCAAAACAGAAGTAGCCCTGGTGGAGTCGCGGGTGACACGCTGCGTTGCTAGTGGAAAGGTCTGCGGTCTGAAGAAAGAGAAGACTGTCTGATCCCGTATAGGGTTAAAGACTCAGAAACTCTCCAGGGCAGTTCTACTCTGTTCTAGAGGGACGCTGTGAGTCGGAAGTGGTCAGTGCAGCGTGTGATTAGGCTTGGTCCTCAACACATTCTTCCATGACGCACGGATATCCAGGCACTGGGCAACAGAGAACTATGGACGGCAAGCAAACGAACGTACGTAAAGCTTCATGCTAGAGTTCAGGACTGGACACTTCTGGCAGGGAAGGCTCGGGGATACTGAGGAGAGACAGATGCGACCCCGATGCTGGAGAGCGAGGCCCTCCCACAGGGGCAACACAGCACTCACAGGGCGCCGTGGTAGAAGTAGCCAAGGAAGGGCGAGTTGTCCAGGGGGGACTGCACGCACAGGAAGGGGAACCAGTCCGGGGTGTAGGGC